GATAGTCTGAGGGGTCTAGCTTCTCAGTAAGAAATTTGAAGCGGCTCGTGCAAAAGTTGCAAGCTTCGTAGCAAAAGGGCGGTTTATATCGCGGAAAATAAGGTGTCACAGTAGCCCATCAGTTTTGAAATTTTGTTTGTTTAGCTACTGAAATCGAAGAGGCCGATTCGAAGACCATTAACTTCCTCCTGAATGGAGAAGAGGTCCAGCTGGAAATCGTCATGGAGTCAACACTTGAGGCAAGTAACATGTTCATCTGAACTTTCTATGAATCTCCCCCTGAATAATGTAACAGAGCCGCTGAGCGGTACGCACATGAGCTGCTACATGACCCATATGTGGTAATCTACGAAATGGAATTTTCCTTTTCCAGTGAGAAAGAGTGCTATTTTATTCTGGAAGTCCTAAATTTCTCACCCTCACCCTACATCACAACCTTGTAGAACCTTTACTTGCGCCTTGCTTTCAACTAACATTCAACATCATACATAGAATCGCATTGTAGGAGTCGTGAATAGAGAACGAGCCATCCACGTACTACTTGTAGGCACAAATTGGAATACCAATGAGAAAATAGCCTGCAAGTGCTTGAGGGTAGATAAGGGCTACGTAGATGACAGTTACCGTCTTTCAAACAGTCCTCATCATTGCGGACTGTCGGAGGGCGGCTGTGCAACGCGGTCCAAATGGGCGTTCGGCCTCGTTGCTCTACCAATGGCGATCGGGTAAAGATCGATTTAGGGAGGGAGCAACCAATGATGGAAACGCCGCAGGTGCGAGCCGCTGATTGCGACCCGACAATTGCGGTGATGTAAAGTGTAGATAGGGATATAACGTTTATCTCTGGGTTGGACCATCGACTGTTGGATATGATGGCCAGGGCCGAGAACAGTCTCAACGCGCTTCCCACTCTTTTTCTCATCGGAACCGAGTAACCCTGAACAGAGTAGGGATTATGCCTCTGAGGCAATCGCGTGTTAATTCTCAAATGGCAAATCACTACCCAGTCGCGCTTGAAACACAGGTAAAAAATCGCAAATCTGTCCACTGCCCCTTGTAGAATGATATTTGCTGAATACTGTAGGTTGTCAATACTTACTGAGCTTCACTTTCTTTCAAAGTTTCGTTTCAGTCCGCACCTTTCACTGACCATATCACGATGTTTGTTGTTGTATATTCCGTGGATAGCCGCGAATCATTTAAAAAGGCTACTAATCTCTTGTACAGGTAAGCGCGAGAGCATAAATTGTATGAGTGAAAATATATAATTCAATCCTTCTGTTAGTGATTTCATTGGGTTTCTGAGATTCATCGCTCATCCACTTTCTTTCTGTAGTGTTCGAATGGAACTCTTGCACTCTTTATCCCCGCAACTTTGCGGGCTCGAGCCCCTCTTTAAAGACAGCCCCCGCGATCAAAGTGGCTCGTGGTCGCCTTTGCTGTGCAAGTAGTCTAGCCTCCAAGCTAGAAGACTGTTCACCTTTCGCGACTCTATTGTGATTTGAACTTTTCACAAAAGAGTTAAATTTTGGGATCTGGCCATATGTTCTTTTTGCATCCCTGGATGCTCTGAGAGCCGCTGTCGCCTGCACCCTCAGGTTCATAGAAGTGCCACGGCAGGAAGTTTAAGCAAGTTGCTCCGTAGTCCTAGAACGCAATCAAAAACCTTGGCGATTATTTATGGATGTTTTTGCTCATGGTACACCAACAGAGGTCGAAGTGAGCTATACTCCTTAGGCAGCGTTCAGACTTGTAGCGCTACGTCGCGCTACAGCTGTAGGGCTACAATTGTACACAACACATAGTAGTTGTGAACTTTCAAACTCTTTTCGACGTGGTTATTTTTACATTCGAATCTTCATCAAAACGAATATAGTCATGCAGCTTAACATCACTACACACTAAGCCGCGATCCTTCTAACCTCGCCCTTATTTTTTTTTAGTGTAATTTGATTATTCTTTCCTGAGGTGGGGAGTTTCACTTGTTAGTGCTGTGGCAAAGCGGCCCCGCCCACTAATGGAAGCTTTTGTAGAAGCCCCGCCCACTTTTCAAAAATGATGCAGATCGGCGAGCTAGTGACCGTACTAGCAGGTTATGGCCTCTCCCGTCACCCGGAACAAAGTTTTCCTTTTTTCTGGTCTTTCCCTTTTTTCATTCTATGTGACGGAAAAGGTCATAACTTGCTAGTATGGACACTAGCTCCCCGATCTGCATCATTTTTGAAAAGTGGTAGGGGCTTCTACAAAGTGGGCGGAGCTTCCATTAGTGGGCGGGGTCGCTTGCCACAGAATAAAAAAGTGAAAGTTCGGGAGAATAATCAAAGTTTCGCGAAAATC